ACCTTCACGAATGAACTCTTTAAGTTGATTAATGGATGACAGGATGTGACGTCATTTTACACCATTTCAAATGAGACGTTTACGTTCCGCTAAATGCCGATGACAGAATATATAAGTTTCAGTGTTGTCTTATTCTTGAGAATGAAATATGATATTTACAGTTGAAGATTGTTACATTAATCAGACAAACAAACAAATGATAGACGTATGCTGTGCATCATGGCCGTCTGTCTGTAATTGTATATTATGGTCACGTAATTGATTTATACACAGTCATTAATGTTTGCAATTAAACTGTCTACATCGTTTACTTTACCAGTTCCAGGCTCCATTCACTTTATTCGTAGAACGGGGGGGGGGGGGCTACCTTTCGGAAAGTTACATACACACACGATGTTGTGGGGCAAGAAAGGGATTAAAGGGGTTGGGGTCCGCGATGGACTTACTGCTCCATTATATTTTAAATTCATTTACTACTTCATCATATTATATATTCATTTACTGCTGCATCATATTATATATTCATTTACTGCTGCATCATATTATATATTCATTTACTGCTCCATTATATTATATATTCATTTACTGCTGTGATGATTAAACCATGAAAACATGGACTGGTTTTAGATGCTATTCATGGTATATCTGATAATATGTGGTTCGTGCATGCTGGGCGGATATCAAAGATATCGTACACTAGAATAACTCAGTATAATATTGCTATCCTGCAGCGAAACTTAAAACATACCGAGTTAAATATGCATTAGTTGTATACACGTAATAACCATGGACTATTGTATGTAGTCTTGGTGGCCTCTATTCATATTCAGATAACGTTAACTAACTCGGCATACTGCTTCAAAACAACTATGCATTATAAATGTTTATTCATAAATTGTATACGGGCAACTTTATCTAGAAAGTGATAAAAGTTTGTTAAACTTTTTGTATCCTGTTATTATTTCTGTTTTAGTCTTGGGGTAGTAAAAAGCTAGTGTGATAACAGTCTTAATATAACAGTCTTTAAAAAACGGATTATATTTTTAGTTAAATTATCAAAATAAAATTCATGTAATCTCTGTGTGAAATATGTTAAATTTTTGTATGTTTTATAATTAGGGAACAGTGTCTAGTCGTTCAGATGGGGAGAAAACCGTGTACACCTTGGTGTGCACGTAAAAGAACCTTTGATAGTTTGAATTCGATCACAAGAGTAGGAAGAATCGCGGCTGTGTGGGCAAAATTTGCCTCATAGCCTAAATCCAAGAAATTCCTAATTAGCAAACGATACAACTACTATAATAGATCGACGTGTGTAAAAACCGGACGAACGGACGGGGCCAATTTCAATATCCCTCCCTAAACATCGTTCGACGCAGGATATATAAAAAAAACGACAGGTATAATACCAATAGCCAAACCTGTTGAATAACAAACCCAGCAGGGCCTCTTTAACATCAACTAACTTACAATATATAAGTAAAGAGACAAATATATGTACATTGACTAAACAATACATCCCAACATTGTATGGGGTAACAGTTTGCCATATGGTTATCAACTTATAGGTAATGCTTGGTTGAATAAGCAGCTGGGTACAGCTCGATCCAAATCACGTTATTACATACAACTTGTAGTGTTCGCTTCATAACCCAGAGCTCCATGGGTTCTGTCAATATTTTTGTTTCTTTTCTCAAGTTTGATGTAAATATGTCTAATTCATTTCTTCCATTTCAACGCTGCTTGTTTAGTCAAGTTGAGCCGTGCCGAGTCGAGTCGATAATATACACACACAGCAGCAAGTGGGGTATTAAACACAACACAAGTCGCTCCCTTCATTAACAGACATTTAAGAATGGCAGGCGAAAGACAGGTGCATGCGCCAGATCTCGCGCGTTCGCTTAGAAACGTGATGCGCGCGGCGTGCACCTTTATACAAATATGTCATCATCAATTAGTAAAAGAGACGGGATACGGACAGGGGTCGTCACAAATAGATAGAAAGCAAAGAATGGCCTCATTTATCATCATCACCGTCTTTAGGACATGTCTTAAGAAGAGGTAAATAACCTAATATAGTGATATTGTTAGTTTACGACAACCGACATCCGCCAGCAACCTGCCATTAATTTCATTCGTACAATTAAAATCCTTATCTAATCTCGTCAACAGGAGAAAAAAAGGATTAACATTAAGTTCAGCGGCAATTTACGAAGCCCCCAAGCTTAAACAATTAGAAATTCACGAGCTCTTCCATTTTCATAACTTCACGCCTGCTTTCACTTCATTTCCCCTGTTCGCGTTAAATCTCGCTATACGTGGCTTCATTGAAATTAATTTAGTGTACAGATGTTGAATAGCTTGAACACTATCATTTAACACGAAGAAAACACAAAACTCTTGCCATTTAATTACCATAAACAGACGAACATGTTCAACAAGACTTCCCGCCATCTTATCACGTGCTATTTTTTCCGGTATCAGACTCGGAATTACTATCTCAACGTGAAGCGATTGGTCTCCCAGGAAGCTAACGTTCGCGTGGTACTGTTTACTTATCTGTAGAACTACTTCGATACGGGAAATTATACGAAGGAACCCACGACACAAGTATGCATTTCTAACATGGAATCATTAGGTACAAATCTGGAACGACAAAATAAATACTTAAAATAGAACAGCCATATGCCGCGTGCACTTATCCTGCAGTTAATGATTTTTAATTGATTCGGGATTATTTTTCGGTTTATTGCTTTGAATAATAAATAGTTGAGTAACGTGTTACCGCGGAGTAAATGAACGGGTTATTTTGTATGTTTATTTAGGGGAGGGAAAGTGCGCGACTTCACTTTATTCGCCATTGGGTGCACATTAAGCGCGTGCCGATCAATTTATTTATGATGTATACTTATTCTCTTCAGCGTTTATTAAGATGAAAGGGGGTAACTCGATTCTCGTACTTATACTTTATGGACAATTACATTGAACATTTCAATTTTTTTTAATGAAAACACAAAATTGATTTATTTTTATGAACTATGGATTGCTATATCTGCCAAAATATATATTATGTTCTATACCTCAAATCTAAATCGAGAGAGAGAAATGGGGCTTACCGTCCACTCGACACAAGCTAGGTCATTTCGGGACTAACACATGGTTCAATTTTATTTCAATATTTCGCTTGTGCGTAGGGATCTTTAGCAATGGAAGAAAACCGGAGGACCCGGAGAAGACCGACGATGTTGGACAGGCGACCCTACTCCTTGTCAGGTACAGCCGGGGAATTGAAACCACGCCAGTTGACTCAATGACAGACCTTATAAAAGAGCGCGCACGTGCTAACCATTCGGCCATCCACCCCCCCCCCCTCCTCTCAAATCTAAATCAGAAGTAGTTTGGTATTTTGACAAAAATGCTTTTATTCACTTAGATACAGGATATTCTGTTAAAGACACCCGAAACATATATAACGCAATTTACACAAAAATGGTCGAAAAAAAAAGACAAGCAAACCAAAACAAAAGCAAAGGCATAAAAAATACCTAACCACGGTAGTAAAAAGTATAAATACCGTGTTAGTCTTAGAATTATTGAAGTATTTTGTTGACGAGATGTATTCTTTTGTCACTCCAGACACCATATCGTACAAGATGGCGAATTAATGGCGCTATAGAGAACTCATAAATCATTTGAAAACGTAATGACAGGTTGTCTGTAGACAGTGTCGCTATTTACATTTACTTACTTACAAACAATAAACACTATACGACTAGTACTACAGTTATTACATAGTCATATACTTACTATATACATATGGCACGAGACATAAATGTTTATTTTACGCTAATTATAAACCATGTTGTGAATCTACAAGAAACAGCGAAACTTGTTTTGTTATTCCAGCTACATCGGTGAACCCAATAATTAGAGAAACATCTTTTCCCCCACACTTAAAAAAATAACAATAAAAAGGGAAAGAGGTTATTTGAATCACAGTATATAGGGTTTTAGGGTTACGGTTAGGACAACTTATTTATTGGGCCACTGTATAATAAACAAGGGAGTGATGGGTAGCTTCAATAAGTTAGGGTTAGGGTTAGGTCATCAATGCTTCAAAAGCGGTCCTACTACGTAACTACCGCCAAGAACCTACGAGAACGTTTCATGGCTAGTATCGCTGTAAGTATTGTAGAAAGTGACGGACAAGGAAATGTATGTTTTTTTAGATTATGCACATTCAGCACATCAAGTCCAAAATTTTTGAATACAGTATTTACGAGGCCAGCTTTATTCGTAACTACTTTGGTTGTGAATACCCTCGTCATAAAAAAAAAATAGTGAGACCGATAGAAATGTGGAAATATATAATTAAAAGGGTTCTAACTTTCAATATTAAATTTCATTTTTATTTATGCGTAGTATCAGATTTGACATTTAAAAAATGATTATCAAGAAAACTTGAATAATGATTGTGTTAATTTCGTCTGGGCCACAACACGAGAATCAAGGGCGTATATAAGATTTGCGAAGAAGGGGGCAGGGGGTGCAAAATACTTAAAACACAACAAACATTTTTTTTAAATACAATCACTGTTTATTTTCCAAATAGGGAGCCACAGTGGCTAAGTGAGTAAGACGCTAGCTCGCTAGCCTGAAGGTCGCGTGTTCGATCCCTGCATTGGCTGAGAAAGTTAACCAGGATTTTCCGACGTGGTTTCCCCTTGTCAGTGGTGCAGGACGGGGAGCCTGACAAGGATACCTGTCTAGTCGTTCGGATGCGACGAAAACTCGAGGTTCCGTGTATATATTGGCGTGCACGTAAAAGATCTCTTGGCAGTTGAAATTCGATATAAGAGTAGGACATAGTGCCGCTGCCCGGGCAAAATTTCCCTCACAGAACACTGTATGGTGTATGCCCGTCTTCATTATCCCAGTCATGTATTATACAATAAAATATTACTTAATTTATGTACAACGTCTATTTCTGTATTTTTCAGTTATTCCAGCAGTAAGTGCCACCTGTCCACGTGATGTCACCGCGACAGCGTATGGATGTTTTACGTCATACAGTAGAAATTTGCAAAATATGGAATCTAGCAGACGACAGTTATGTTGTGGGGTTGACGTAGAAACATTAAGGGCCTTTTGTAGGTAAGAAATGATGTCTGATATTAATTTTTTAAATATCCTCTTGGGACTACAAATCCAAGTATTCCATTTTGGGCAACGATTTACACGGGATTTAAAGTTGTTGTGGCTGAAAATGTGCGTGGTATCTACGTATTCATTTGGGTAGGGGGTGGGGTTATGTGGCGCGACCCTCCCGCACTTACTAATAAATATAGTCTGCACTGCCTTTTTATCTAACATACAGAGCAATTGCACATTGTTAAATGGGAACACCCCCCCCCCTCCCCACACCCTCACACCCCCGTACCCCCATCTCCAAAATTTCGCAAATCCATCTGTGTTGCACAGAATAGAAAATTGGTGGAAACAGATACACGCGCCATCCACTGACATTTTTTTAATTCTTTTATTAAACAGAAGGTCATCACCTTTAATATGCAAAACAGATGACACACATTCGACAGACACATATGCTGCCAACATTTCATCCCATATTCAAACCGGGGCGGGTATTTGTTTTTTTTTTTTAATATAAAGAGCTTATTACAGTGAGCTTTAATTAAAAGGGATCGAGTAGATATTTAATAGATTTGTGTTTGCCTGAGAGATAAAATGGCGACGTGTGGGGATGATGATATTATTAATACAGATAATTAACATATTAGCCCAACAGCTGGGAATAAATTAAAGTGAATAATTAATTAGGTAAACTCGTTCCGGATCCACTTTGTGTCGGAAATAAATGGCAACAGGTGTAATGATTCCTTTGTATGTGGAGAAATTTGCCATGGCAGTGATAGTTTTTAATTATGAAACATTCTTTTACAAAATACCGAGGAGACGGGTGTCTCGGTGAGGATGGATTTATTGCATTTTCCATTATTTCTTTGTATGTGGAGAAATTCGCCATGGCAGCGACAAGTATATCAATGATTTTTAATTATTAAACGTTCTTTTATAAAATACCGAGGAGACACGGGGTCTCGTTGAGGATGGATTTGATGCACCTTCCATAATTTCTTTGTATGTGGAGAAAGTATATCAATGATTTTTAATTATTAAACGTTCTTTTACAAAATACCGAGGAGACACAAGGTCTCGGTGAGGGTGGATTTGACGCACTTTCCATGATTTCTTTGTATGTGGAGAAATTCGCCAGGGCAGCGACAAGTATATCGATAGTTTTTAATTATTAAACGCTCTTTTACAAAACACCGAGGAGACACAAGGTCTCGGTGAGGGTGGATTTGACGCACTTTCCATGATTTCTTTGTATGTGGAGAAATTCGCCACGGCAGCGACAAGTATATCGATAGTTTTTAATTATTAAACGCTCTTTTACAAAATACCGAGGGGACACAAGGTCTCGGTGAGGGTGGATTTGACTCACTTCCCACACGCTTCCTGGCTCAATCCGATGTTTCTGGGGAATTTCCAACCTAGATTCCCCTTGTCACTGGTGCAGAATGAAAAATGATCTAGTGGATCGGATGGGACGGACAACCGAGGTTCAATGTATATCATTGGCATCACGTTAAAGATCTCCTTTTTTAAATCGAAAAAGAACTTTGACTTTTTGTAAGAAAGAGGATCTGCTCTAAGAAAAAAACAACCAACGTCTTCATTAGCCCTTTTGGTGCAGAAAAGTAGGACGTTAAACCGCGTTTCATTTTTAAATTAATATTCAGATTCAACAAGTGATACAAGGTTGACTGGTGACCCCTGTTTTAAAGCTATTGAATTTTTGTTCATTTAACGCATCGAGAAATTCTACTTTAAGTTTAGTTCCGTGATAAGATGGCCATATTACCACTAATCGAAATCTAACAACGTGACTTCCATCACTTCCGGTTCTTGTAGTTAAGCTATACGCCATTGTTTGAGAGTGGCTTATTGATGGTCAAATTGCGTGTTTTTCGAGTATAAATAGCCTCAATTTAATCTGGTAATGACGGTGTTTGTCTTTCATCTCTTCTAATCGATAATAAGCTATCGATTACACGATAGAACCCTTCTCTAGTTCTGTTAATTGATTTAAACAGATGAATTACAAGTACTTTTCAATATCATTGTTTTTCTTTCTGTAATCAAGGCCTTGATTCATTTAACATTCGTCAATAAATCGACGCGGACCTCTGTCAATGTTTGGTCTGTGGGATTGGTGTTTCTCTTTATACTGAAACACAGGAAGTTGATAATTAATTGTGGGTCGAAACGACCACACTAAATAGGTGTTGTCTATTAAAGGGCGTTTGTGAGTAGATCAGGTCAGTTTGGGGACGTCAGGACAGCTTGGGGAAATCAGGACAGTTTGGGGACGTCAGGACAGTTTGGGGAGATCAGGATAGTTTTGGGAGATCAGGACAGTTTGGGAGTAGATCAGGCTAATTTGGGAGTAGATCAGACCAGTTTGGGGAGATCAGGCCAGTTTGGAAGAAGATCAGATCAGTTTGGGGAGATCAGGTCAGTTTGGGGAGATCAGGCCGGTTTGGGGGTAGATCAGACCAGTTTGGGAGTAGATCAGGTCTGTTTGGGGACGTCAGGACAGTTTAGGGAGATCAGGGCAGATTTGAAGATCTGGACTGTTTGGGAGAAGATCATACCAGTTTGGGGAGATCAGACCAGTTTGGGAGTAGATCAGGTCGGTTTGGTGAGATCAGGCCAGTTTGGGGAGATCAGTCCGGTTTGGGGAGATCAGGCCAGTTTGGGGAGATCAGGCCGGTTTGTGGAGATCAGGCCAGTTTTGGAAGATCAGAACAGTTTGGGAGTAGATCAGACCGGCTGGGGAAGTAATTTCTATACGGAAAATTCATTTATCGGGATTTCGGGGCTAGTTATAGGCTAAAGCGGCACCGTTGGTGTACGGTATTGAAGTAAGTTGTTTTTTCGAGGTAGAATACACTTGAAACAACGTCATATTACATTATATTTTCCACGAAGGGGGGGGGGGGGGTGGTCTAGGACCGGAGAGAGATGTGTGTAACAGATGCATGCCATGCCGCTGATAGTATACCACTGGCTACACGGAATTATGTAGTAAGACGCTGGCTCGCTAGCCTGGAGGTCGCGGGTTCGATCCCGGTGTTAGTCAAGAAAGTTCATTGGGATTTTTCTGAGTGGTTTCCCCTTGTCAGTGGTGCAGGACTTTTGTTTCGGGACAGCTAGGATATATTCTTTATTGTAACAGTTTGTTATCCATGTGAACTTCTCAAATGAGGAGTGGTATCGGGTGTTTTTGAAATAGTGAGCAAACAATTGGCACTACTTATATCTTGCTATAAATATGAATAACCTTTAGTAGAGATTCTTGGGACCAATGTAATATGAATAACCTTAGTAGAGCAGGAATGAGGTTTAACGTCCTACTGTTCTGCTCCGACTGGGCATACGCCATACAGTGTGCTTTGAGGGAAATTTTGCCAGGACATCGGTGCTACGGCCTACTTTTATATCGAATTTCAACTGCCAATGGATCTTTTACGTGCACCACTGACAACAGGAAACCACGTCGGAAAAGGGTTTCTTGGGACCACTGTAAATAGTTATATGAAATCCTCAAATGAGAAGTATTATGAGTTGTTTTTCAAATAATAAGCGCCCACTGGCCTATGTACGATACCCAACAGTACTTGCAAAGTGTACCATTGGTTTCTTTTTGGACCAGGAACTTGTCGCTAACTGCTACTTATCTTGTTCTTGTGTTGACGCTCTTCGAAAAATCCTAAGGCTCCGTCAATTCAAGTCCGATCGACATGAAAATTGGCATGCTTCTTCTTTGAACAATTCTGCATCGATTTGGTCAATCTGAATTTCATCCAACAACTTGGTCAGTTTCTGGTCCATAGTGCGATCGTACTTGTTTAACATATTATATCAAACCAATACCGAACGAACGTTCAACCTTATAGATTATAGGGACAATGGTGGTAGACACGTTATGTGTAACAGTTGTCTTGTAGTGTGAAAGGGCTATAGATATACCAGACGACATTATGTTCGGATTATTCTGATCCAACTAACAGCTTTCACATATATATATCTACAAATATCGTCAGTCTGATATTTACCATGGTAAATTCCACGGTGCCAGGCTGATGTAACCAATAAACCTATGTACCGTGTGTTACATCAATGGGTGCCAATGTTCCAATCGTAATAAATCCGAGTCGCTTATATCACTAGGATTAGGTTTTGTTTGGACTTGCTATAAACCGTCTGCATCGATACTAATATTAGATTCACGACCACGATTTTTACCGTTATATCTATCATGTTAGTCTGGTAGAATATGCATGCAAGCAGAACGACAATAACGACGTGTTATTTTATCAAACGTTCTTTCTATAAGGCGTATCGGACAGAAAAATAGTTTTTCGGTTCAGTGCCATTGCGAAATAAGTATAATACAATTTAGTTTTAGTACGTGATCCCAAGACGCTGAGAGCTTGTCTCGAGAATAATCTAATTTTCTTTACGCCGACGACATACGGATTTATGTTCATGACAGATCTTAGTGGTGGATCATAATAAAAAAAATATATCATGTTTTAATTCAAATGTATGGAGCTACGGTGGCTCACTAACCAAGTGGTCCCGGCTTCGTTCCCGGCGTTGTGTAGGCAGATAATGTTCCTTAGGACTTTTCAGCCTGGAATAGCCTTATCAGTGGTGCAATTCGTTCGGGTGGTACGAAAAAAACGAAGGTCCCGTATACACATTGGCGTGCACGTAAAAGAACCCCTATCGGTGGAATTCGAAAAAGCGTATGTTGAAACGCCACTGCCCGAGCAAAATATCCCACATGAAGCACTCTATGTCGTATGAACGTCTTCGTTAGCTCGATTGGTATAGAAAAGTAAAATGTTAAATCTCGGTTCATTTCTCAATGACAATCTGGTTAAAATACAGATTTATATTTCGTTTCGTTCTTTATACTTTTGATGGCCTTCACTACAGAACCTAAAAATACGAAACGAAATAGGACCTCTCTCTGGATATTTTGTATTGTGGCTTTAATTTAGTTACACGTGTGGATGTCTGTGTGGTGTGGTGTATTTATCTTTTCGTTAGCATCCCCACACCATACCACACAGCACCACACCACCCAGATATCCCGACACCATACCATACAACATCACGCCACCAGGCATCCCGCCATATATCATCACACCACCAAGACATCCCGACACCATACCATACAACATAACACCACCAAGATATCTCGACACCATACATCATCAAACCACCAAGGCACCCGGCACCATACATCATCACACCACCAAGGCATCCGGCACCATACATCATCACACCATCAGGGCATCCCGACACCATATCATACAACATCACACCATCAGACATCCCGACACCATACCACACAACATTACACCACCAAGACATTCACACCACATATAAGAACATTACAATCAATATACAAATTATAATACAGAGTTGGCATGCACTGTTTATAAGGACATGTGTCCCAATCAAATATTCATAAAAAAAAATTAACAACATAGCTTAACTTTGTGTAAGGTGATCAAAGTTGATCTAAATCTTTGATCAATGATTATTTGACTTTTAAAGTTTAGTTCAACATTGATTGATTTATCTTTTGAAATGTTATATTCGACGAATTATATCAGTATTTTATAAAATACTAAAACCTCGCTTAAATTTCATCTGTTGGGTCCAAAGTAACCTTAAGATTTTTTTCTCAAAGAGGTCGTATTGAAAGGTTAAAATCATTGACCTTTACCTTATAAAGACTTTATTCCATATGACATAAAACGTTACGCCTAGCTCTTATGGTTTCTAGTTTTGAGAAGTTATAGCGTGTCTGTTCCAAATGAAATTATCCATTGCAATGTATATATATAATGTAACTTTCTCTTTGATGGTCCATAAAAAGCCATAAAATCATTCTAAAATGATATATAAGTTGTGTATATATTAAACATTTGTTGTTTTTGTTTGAATGTACGTGGAGGTGACAGAGTCTAGTAAATCATACATCTAAAACATCGTTCGGTCTGCGACTAGTTTATATTTTAAACTTTCCTATTTCCATAATAATAGTTTTTGAGCAGGGGTATAGAGTTCCGTAACGAGACATATATTGTTTTACACCTCGAAACACGTAGTATATGAAAACAACTTAAATATATTAAGGCATAAATATCTAACAAATTTCCAAATGATTATATTTTGGGGAGAGTTTTTGTGGCTATTGTTTGTCGCTGATGTATTCCCACACGCTGTAAAAACGATGAAAATTGGTTTTAAAGTTGCGAGAATTTCACGTTTTATTGTGTGTTATTTAAATAGTAATGATACTCAGTACATGCAAGATGGCTGTTTTATTGGCGGTAAGAATTTCTTTAAGCGCATGATGGGCAACAGATTGTATTGTTAAAGTGAGGAATTCGGGTGTCTAAACATCGTTTGCTTTATAAATGTTTAATTTTTTATTCAATGTAGACATACAAAAAATAGTTTTATTGAAATACTTAGACAGTAGTACATCAACATTTGTTATCCAAGTCATTGTCTAAATTATTACAGGTAGCATGACAATAAACAGCATTTAAAGGTGCCATATTCTAGACTAAATAGCAAATGTAGTCTTTCCAAAAAATATTCAGATCGATCAACCCCATCGTAAGTTATGACCTATTAGAGTTCCCATCCCTTTACTCTCTGCTGATTCCTTACCGCCATCGTGGGTTTTCTCCGGGTTATCCGGTTTCCTCCCACTGCTAAAGACCCCTACGCGCAAGAGAATTATCGAAATAAAATTGAACCATATGTTAGTCCCGAAATGACCCAGTTTGTGTCGAGTGAACTTATCCCCCCCCCCTCTCTCTCTCTCTCTCTCTCTCTTGTTCGAGACTATTATCCGGCATACTTTTGACTAATGTATTTGTCCAAGGCCTTTCTCAACAAACTCATCGGCATTTCTCGTGTCTGAGTCTATCTTCTAATGAACTCTTGATTATTTTACTTGTCCAAGACCACTGCCCACTGAATTCATGAACACCTCCCTTGTTCAAGACTAGTTTCCAGCAAACTCTTGACTAGGTCTTTTGTCCAAAACTACTTCCCAATAAACTCTTGACTATTTTACTAACTAATTAACTCTTGACTATTTTACTTGTTCAAGACTACTACCTAATTAACTCTTGACTATTTTACTTGTTCAAAATTTATTCCTAATAAAGTCTTGACTATTTTACTTATTCAAGACTACTTCCTAATTAATTCTTGACTATTTTGCTTTTCTAAGACTATTTGCCAGCAAATTCTTGACTATGTCCCTTGTCCATAACTCTATTTTCCAGTAAAATCTGGACTATTTTAATTACTAAAGACTATTTCCAAGCAAACCCTTGACTATTTCACTTGTCCATAAATCACCGTTATCTTTGTTTAACTATTAAAAGATAACGAGGTTAGTGTTTTCATACCAGAAGGCCAGGAAATCTGCCAGTTCAATCAGATATTTCTTTATTGTAAGATTATATCAAATTCTGGGTATATATCACCTTACAGCCCCTAGCTTACATCTCCCTTCACTAATACGTTGATAGAAATCAGGTGTTGAAAACTGCTCTTTATTTGTTGTGAAGGAGCATATGAAATCCTGTAAAAAGGTGATCTTTGTCTTAGATTTCTATGGTTCCATCTGTTTTAACACCGTGTGTAAAAACCTGTACAAACATGATAATTCGTTTCGCTTTATGTATGAAATCTGTTAGCGATCTAGAATTTAGAATTTACCTTTTGTCTATGTGTATATGTTATATAGGTATGATGCGAGGACTTAAAGGTATTGTACCGCCTGGGGAATCTAAGATATCAGCAAAGGGAACTCTCGCCTAGTTCCTGTTGCCGATATAGATTTTGTAAAAACATTATTGGAATGGTTTGGATAATATATAAAATGTGTTTGATGGTTCTGGCACCATTCCTTGAGTAACCCCATCTTTAAGACATGTCTTTTGTTTTTTCGTGATCGGCCATTTTCAGATTCATGCTTTATCGTGATGCCCAGAGAGATATATTTCCATACTGTCAGTATAAAACGTTATTAAACACGACTTTAGCATATAGTTTTATATAACATTATTTAAAGATAAATAGTTTTATATTTACACCCACTTAAAACTTCTTCCGGTAGATCGGTAGATACAATAAGGAATTTGCATGATTTTGCGCAGTTGGCTCTAAATGAACTTTGATATCTTAGGCAAGGATACACATTTTTGTCTAAGTAGTTTACAGATTATTCGGCTGAAAATAATACAGCAATTGTTTCTTAAAGGAGCTAAGTCGCTAATATTTGGGACCTAGAAATTGATACAAATAGGTCGCAACGCATATAATAATGTAATATGAATGTATATACACTGATTTACATTCAATCGTTTCTGTTTTTACTGTAATTTCTAATCAGTTATATTCGGCGAAATACGCCAGAAGTCTCGATCGAATGGCAATCTCTACCGTCTTGTTATTCCAGTCTACACCGATAGTATTTATTGTGCATGCTCTCCAGATAAGAATATGACATCACCGTTTGACATGACTTTTGGAAAATGACTAGCCTCGTTCTTCGAGTCCCTTGTTACAAATGACGCTGAAACGCATTATGGTACACGATTCGTGTACGAATGGTGAAATGTTTATTTTGTCTTAAATATTGGATATCAGAAGCCCATCTTTTTCCGGTAAGATCACAACATCAATGTTGATTTAAATTGACAAATAAGTCGTGTTTTCAATGTTGAAGGCTTTGGATGATATTGAGTTAGAGACTTAGCTACTTTAAAAAGAACTGAATAATAAAAATATTTGCAAGTACAGTATGAAGCAGGGTCGTCGACCGAGAGGTCGGAGGGAGGGGGGGGGGGGGCTGGTAGACGATGTTATTACTGGAAATATTTAAAATTGGACCTGTTGGAAGCTATATTATTTTGAGAATTAAAATTAATTGTCTACATTGTCTTCTGTTTATTTATATTTTTTTTATATATTAAGTTGTTTTGGGTTTTTTAATTTGTACCCATTTTTTTTTTTTTTGGGGGGGGGGGGTATTTTTAAAAAATAAACGATATTTTCGTACTGGAGCTCGTTATTACTACGGCCAGAAGACAAAAACTGTGGGTGTGTGGGACTAGCTATAGCGGTCGTAATCGGTAATATGAGTGAGTTGTATTTGATACGAAATATAGCCTAAAGACCGGCTCGTAATAATGAATATTTTGCATTATTCCAAGAATCTTTATCTGTATTATAAATCCTTTAAAATGGTGGAACTAGCTATAGCGGTCGTAATCTGTAATATGGATGAGTTGTATTTGATACGAAATATAGCCTATAGACTGACTCGTAATAAAGACTATTTTGCATTATTCCAAGAATCTTTATCCGTATTATAAACCCTTTAAAAATGGTGTGACTAGCTATAGCGGTGGTAATCTGTAATATGGGTGAGTTGTATTTGATACGAAATATAGTCTACAGACCGGCTCGTAATAAAGACTATGTTGCATTATTTCTAGAATCTTTATCTGTATTATAAACCCTTTAAAATATCTATTTTCAGTTCGTATGTTCAAGCCATGTCTTGCATCCGCCAACTTAAATCAGACTGTCCACAGAGCTACCATTCTAAAATAGACTTACCCTTGGTGAACCTAGAGGGCGCTCACGAAGGTCTTCACGATCTGTGTTCGGACGACTTTTTATATGAACGTAAGTATTAAAAAATAATCGATATAGAAATTATATTTATTGTCCAAATATCAATAATCTCACAGGTTCCTAGACACATAAACTATCACCACTTGGAAGGCAAGGAATTATAGTCCTAAACAGCGATCTTAGATGCTATGTTTTAAAGATAAGTTCCCGGGTACAAACTGGGTGACTTGATGATATATTTGGACTAAAAACATATTCAAACTTATTAATTTATCATAAATTTGCTTCAAATCCTTCTCAAAACATTGCAATTGTCGGGGAATACCCTGGCTATAACAAATCGACCAAAAGAGGTCATGTTTGTGTCACGTGAATTACCTCTCTCGGTACCTAGCAACAGAAGCGAAGTCAGAGGAGAATTCATTGCATACACAAGACGATGTTGTCTTTAATAGTTGACTATTTATTACAAATATCGAAGCCTAATTAAATTTTCGGATTATCCACTGCCCGTGTCTTTTTCCATGATTTTTTTATCTCAGAAAGTGTTGTACGTCTAATTCTTGATAAAGTTTATCAACATGTACATCAAGCGCTCAATCTCCACGTGCAACTTTCGACGTCACGCGTGCAGACACTCCTAATCGTCGGGCTGTCGATTAGGGAAACCCTTACATTTTTGTCCTGTATGCGCTCTATGAGTGTTTTTCAGGGAATCCAGTATATTTCTAGTAAGATTGGATATTTCTACTTTGCATGTATACCAAAATTGCCATACTTTTATTGGAAATAACCACCCGATAAATACTTTTCTGGGAACGTAGCTTTAAACGTCTTAGACTACAATCCAAACGTACGTTGATATATTACATTTAGTTAATTTTCAAATTGAACATGTAAACGATTCGAATTCTTGAGTGACATTTAGCGATGGAATACATTCCAAAACACAAAACCAATTTATATGAAATGCAATCCCCCGTCTACCATATATGAATCGTTTACTCAATTTTCATGTTATTTATTAAATATAATTTTGGGGTATAGACAGTTTAATATATTCTGTTTTATAGCCCTTAGGGTAATTTTGAAAACCAAAAAAGGTCAGTGAGCTTGGTTTTGTTCAAGGGGTGAGTTGCGGAGGGTCGAATTAGACCCATTATTCTCGATAGATGAGTTTTACGTATGGAATTTGGTTTATAGGGGTAGCTCGGATGTAGCTGGCGTTGGCTTACCGCTTCCGGAGTTACGGACTCAACTCCGGCCGCGCCAGGTTAACCGCTAGTAACTGATATTAAAACAAAGAGAGTTTTACTTAATGAATATTGTTACAGAAAAATGAATCAATAAAAAGTCGTTAAATTACTCATAATTCGATTATCATGTTTTGGGGCGTGTTCTAGCGATCAAACCGTTAGGGTGGGGCTCCTAGTTCTTGGCACCAGATCGGTTCCTGTTTTACTGAATATCGGGTATGGACACAAGAACTTCGAGGGGGCGGGGCCGACCTCAAACTGGCATTAATAAAGAAAATTGGACCATATTATGTTCGTCCCTTATGTCATTCTTTCTGTCGTGTGGACGTTAAACTCAAATTCACCCACCATCTCTCTCTCTCTCTCTCTCTCTCTCTCTCTGAACAGTTTTATCGAATACTTGTGAAAACCCCGACTAATCAGTCGTCCTGAGTAGCCTTTGACTCAAGACTATATATATATATATCTGATAATTTTACTGTAATTATTTTGATGTTCCTTTGATAGTTGTAAACTTAGATTGTATAAATCTTCTCCACAAAACCAACCTAAATATTTAAAATAGATTTATTCACTTGAGTGGACAAACCAGAGATCTGATGGTAATCTATACCCACGACAGACGTCTACTAATCGTTGGTGTTTATTCACTTTATCGCCCTGTAAATCGGATAAAAGTGTCCACATATATTATACAACTAGCTATAGTATTTACATTAACAATAGTACATACATTCCTTCACTGTCTTTTTTACATTAACAATGATGGTTTATGAATTTTATTTTACCTTCTGAATTGAAATGAAATGGGGTTTAGCGTTTTAGTTTTCTAACCGCCGTCTTATATCAATCTGATTAAAACATAGATCTATATTTCGTTTCGTTTTTTTATACTTTCGATGGCCTACACTACATGAAGATCTGACCGGTTGTAGCGATAGGTCGCGTCAGAGGTCATACGAGCGGCTTTTGACCCTATGACGTCAGATATTTGATTAACCAATCAGCATTGATGTTACTAGTGGATTACCCACAGTTCCGTGCTAAACTCGCCCAAAGCTCGCCGTAACAGACCGTTGGCTAATACCTCACACCATTCAGAACACATCAATGATAACAACTCTTCCAGATCCTAGTGTTGTGACGACAAGTAAAACGAAATTTTGAACTATAAAAACGAAACGAAATAGGATCTGTGTTTTAATCAGATTGGTCTTATATTAGCCTGGATGCAGCAGAAAAGTATATTAAACCCCATTCCATTACATTTCTACATCCACCAACTACACAGCGGCGCTATGGTCTACTTTTATTTTGATATCGAACATTTAGTGGATCTTAAATGTGTTGCCTCGCTAATTCGTCCCATCCGACGACCACACATTTATTCTAATGTCAGGCTTTCTCCGCCCTGCAACTCTGACAAGGGAAACCCAGCAGGGAAATCCCGTGGAACTCCTGGTTAATGAGTCTGCGCCATGATTCTTTGCCCTCTTAAAGGAGCTAAATCGCTAATATTTGGGACCTAGAAATTGACACAAATGGGTCGCAACGCAGATAATAATGTAATGAAATGAAATGAAATGGAGTTTAACGTCCTACTGTTCTGCTCCTAACCTGGGCTAATGAAGACGGGCATACGCCATACAGTGTGCTATGAGGGAAATTTTGCCCGGACAGCGGCACTACGGCCTACTCTTATATCGAATTCCAACTGCCAAGGGATCTTTTACGTGCACGCCAATGTGTACACGGGACCACGGTTTTTCGTCCCATCCGAACGACTAGACAGCTTTCCTTGTCAGCCCCTCCGATAATAATGTAATATGAAGGTATATAAACTGATTTACATTCAATCGTTCCTGTTTTTATTGTAATTTCTAATCAGTTATGTTCGGCGAAATGCGCCAAAGTCTCAATTGAATGACAATCTTTAGCGTCTAGTTTTCCAGTCTACACCGATGGTATTTATTGCGCATGCTCTCCAGATAAGAATATAGCGTCACCATTTGACATGACTTGTGGAATATGTGTAGCCTCGTTCTTCGAGTCCCTTGTTACAAATGGCGCTGAAACGCATTATGGTACATGATTCATGTATCAATGGTAAAATGTTTATCCTGAATATTGGATATCAAAAGCCCATCTTTTCCCTGTAAGATCACAAGACCAATGTTGATTTGAATTGACAAATAATTGGTGTTTTCAATGTCGAAGATTTTTGATGATATTGAGTTAGACTTAGGTACTTTAAAGTTTCATTTGGATCTTTGTGTGTAATGTTTGTGTGATGTTTTAATATCGTTCGTTGATTTCAATTTAAATATTATTTAATTCTGTGTGTAGATTACATGTCGAGACCGTGTAATTAACTTCTGTTGATTACTCTAATCACCTAGACTAGTTTAATGACATTAGGTAATTCAACTCAATATACACAGGAAACAATTATTTGGAATATAATGATGGTTTATTTCTGAGCGAGGTTTCTTTTGTGTCCTGTGCATAAACAAATTTCTGTCATAGCGAGAGAGAGAGATGGGGGGGGGGGGGTTAACGCCCACTCGACACAAACTAGGTCATTTCGGGACTAACATACGATTTTAAATTAATTTCAATAATTCGCTTGCGCGTAGGGGTCTTTAGCAGTGGGAGGAAACTGGAGGACCCGGAGAAACCCACGAGGTTGGACAGGCGACCATACTCCTTGTAACGTACAACCACGCCAGATGACTCAATGACAGACCTTATGATACAACACGCACGCTCTAACACTGTTTTGTTGACTGCCAACCATGATTACTCACCAGGTTTTATATTTGTATGTAAAAGATGCCTTGAGTCTCTTCTGGATAGTTACTGTTAGTTGGTAATTTGAAATGTGTGACATAAAACAGAAAGAAATAAGGAGTTATAACCGGAAGTGACGAATGGAGTTCCTGTCAACCTTATTTCTTTTTCGTGTTTTCGCTGATAAAATCTCCTCAAGTTCGCAAAAAACTTCCCTGAAAATTCTTTTCATCTTTTGTATTCTGAGAGAAAGATTGGATGGCTCTTGAGTCTTAAGAACTGTCATTGAATTGCAGTTTAAGAGCAATAATGCCATCAAACTTATCAAAGCCCCTGCGCATCCATTATGTGTTTCGTTGCTAAATGCATACAGAAACTGTCTTCTAAGGATTTTCTACCGTGATGACGTGAACTTCAAAGAAGGTCTTTAACTGATTTAGTGCCTCTTATAGCAACTTTTCACGCCTTTTCTATTAGACAAAAAAAAACTTAAGTTGTTTATAAACCTGACTACAACACAACTCAGAATTACCCCCTTTTCTGGCATCTGGCATATCTTGTGCGTTTGAATTGGTTTCTGGTTCGTGGGACTTTCCGTTGATGAGTGGTATGTATGAAAATGAAACGAAATGGGGTTTAACTTCCTGCTGTTCTGCTCCGACTGGGCTGAAATGAAATGAAATGGGGTTTAACGTCCTACTGTTTTGCTCCTATACTGGGCTAATGAAGACGGGCATACGCCATACAGTGTGCTATGAGGGAAATTTTGCCCGGGCAGCGGTACTATCATCTACTCTTATATCGAATTCCAACTGCCAGGGGATCTTTTACGTGCATTCCAAAATATACACGGGACCTCGGTTTTTTGTCTCATCCGAAGGACTAGACAGCTGTCCATGTCAGGCCCTCCGTCCTACATCACTAACAAGGGGAAACCACGCCGGAAAATCTGGATGAACTTTCTCGGCCAATGCAGGGATCGAACACCCGACCCCCAGATTAGCG